CTTCATCTCAACAGAAAAAGGTGGCTGTGGTGGCACATTCCTGTCATCCCAGGTATGGTGGGAAGCATACAAGGGTTATGGTGCAGGCCTGCAGAACAAAAAAGTGAGATCCTATTTCCAAAATAACCAGAGCATGAAAGGCTGGAGGTGTGGCTCAAGTAGTAGAGCCTTGTCTAGCAAACACAAATCCCTGAGTTCAAACCCTAATACTGCCAAAACAAAAGAAAACAGGAAAAAATTCTAAGAAGAAATTTGCTTCCACGCTAACACAGGACTTTTACAGTATAGTTGATCTTCATAGCAGGGTCTTCATTTCACAGATGAGGAAACAGGTTTACAGAGATGGAGCAACAGATCTGGTCCCAGTGTGGACCCAGATCTTCTGACTCCAGTTTCCCACATTGCTCTGATACTGTTTGGCCCCTCTCCCTCTTCTGATGTGGCTGTCACAAACCACAACCTCCAGGAAAGTTCTCTCTGCCTTTGGTCCAGATATAAAGGTCTTTGAGAATGATTCAAAGCCCCACCAGACTGCCCCAAAGCCTGTGCAGGAATGGGTGTGCCTGGGGTTTCTTGCTAATAGAAGGCTTGCAGGAGCAGGGGGAATTAGCAGCTCCTGATGGAGGCTAACTCCATCCGTGGCAACTAGAACACCATCAGTCATTGTCGAGCAGCCCAGATCCTCACCCAGCTCCTAAGGCCTCCAGGAACCAGAGAGGCTTCCTTACTCTTGACCAGTGCCCAGCTTCTTCCGAGGCCTGGGATGGTTATGCTGCCATGCTCTGAGACTTTCTGCTAAGCACATATGTGTTATCATATGTCTTTCTCAGTGCAAGAACTCACAAGGAAAGTGAATCCCTGCTTACAGGTAACACATGGAACCCAAAAAGGTCAAGCAACTTGTCCTAAGACTTGTAGCTGTCAAAGGCAGCATGCAGCCCCAATTCCAGGTCTTTCTAAAAGGCATCCTAATAACCTCTTTACTATACTGCTTCCCATAAACTGTTATCACCACCTTCCTGTTCCTGAGGACTGCACCTTGCCTAGGCCAGGAAGTGCATTTATTTATTTAACCGTGCTAGGGATCGAACCCAGGGCATTGCGCATAGTAGGCAAGTGTTCTACCACTAACCTATATCACCAGCCCCAAGAAAATTATTTTAAATTTTTTATCTTTACTTTTTTTTTTTTGATGGAGCTGGGGTTTGAACTCAGGGCTTCAAGCTTGCAAAGCATGTGCTCTACCACTGAGTGACACCTCCAGTCCTTTTATCTTTACTTTTCCACATGTAGAGCCCTTCCAAAGCCTAGCTCCTGGAAGTACTGAGTAAAAGAAGCCAGTGTTGTTTTTCTTATTTCCCAATTCCAAGCAGGAGCTTCTTTTCCCTGGTGTCTCCTTCTTGCCCCTCCTGCCCTTCTGTGCTTTGTTGCCCTCCTCATGCCACCGTACACCATCTGTTCTTTGTGACTGTGAATTACCCACCAGCTCCTGGAGGGCTGACCTGTCTCCTTGGTTTCTACAGCCCGCATCAGCAGCCATGGGTCTTACCACGCAGCAGCGGTTTGGTAAAAGGTCTGTAAAGAAAGGAGTTATGGAAAGTGTCCCTCACAGCTCAACCTTCCAGGCTCTTGGTCCTTCAGCAGAGGGACAAAGGTCACCCCAGCCAACAGGCTAAAGAGCCCTCCAGCTTCCCTTCCTTCCTCCCTGAGTTCTGGTAATCAGGAAAGGTTTTTTGACTGTGCCATATTTAAAATTCCCAGCTCCTGCGCAGCCCCATCTCCCCACAGCCACCCACACACCCAGAGCCTGGTATAAAACACTCAGCTAGTCCACCTCTGGGGAGGGAGGGGGTGGAGAATATTCCCTGGCCCCTCTCCATTCCCCTCCTTCGCGTGTCCCCGGTTTGGACCACACACCACCAGGGAGATCATCGCTAGGGACTGTTGCCCAGAGAGCGGAGGGAGGTGGGAGGAAATCATTTCGATTTCTCTCTGGGAGCATAAATGCTTTTTTAATTGCTGTCAAACGCGGCTCTTTGGGAATGTATTATTGATAGCAATTGAAATGAAAGAGAAGAAAAAGCAGTACTCTCCCCTTTGCTGGCTCCACTGCCCTCCATGCGTGGCCACCCACCCACACTCTTCCCTGCAAGCCAGACCCCACCCCAGCCTGAGGCTCCCCCTCACCAGCTCTGGCAGCCTCTTCCTCTGCCGCCTCCCCTTCGCCACCCCTCCTCACCTGCCTACTCATCCTCTTCCCCGTGGTTGTGTGTCCCTGCCCCCTCCTGGCTCCCCAGTGTGTCTCTTTTCCTGCCTGTGGAACTCTGTCTCATTCACTTCCTGTCTCTCACTCTGCAACTTCACTTCTTGCTTCACCTTGACTTCCTCGTTGTCACTGGGTCCCCCACTCTTATCCTAAATGTCCACCATCTAGCCATTGCATTGACACTTGTGCTCCCTTCTCTTGCCATTCTAGCTCCTCTGATGCTACATTCTACCCCTCTCTTGCCTCCATTCTCTCTTCTCTCTTTTCCACTTGGGCTCTTTCTCTGTAATCTTCGGTGCTCAGTTACTCCTTCTCCAATCAAGAGAGGCTGGGCTATCCTTACGGTGTTTCTGACCCCCCACACGTGGGATATGAACACTTTAATATCCATCCTCCTTTTGTACCCAGGCCTCCACCCATTCCCCCAAATTCCTAGCCTTTAATCCTTAGTGTGTGCCAACAGGTCAGTGGATCTGGTGAGGTCACCAGCTAGCAGAGCCCAGATAAGCCGTCCCTGATCAAAGGTATAGAAAACCTCCAGACTGCTTCCTTCTCTCAACCGTGCAGTCCTGGTTCCTGAGCACTGGGGAGTTCCCCGTGGTGGGTCAGAATTCCACCTCTTTCCTTAACACTGGAAGCTGTCGAGGCTCCGCATCAGAGCCTCCTGTGCCTTTAAGAAAGCCACGCCTTCAGGCACCACCAGCTCCTCCTTGCCCCCTCCCCAGCTGGGGGGAGGGGAGCAAAACTGGATATTCCAGCATAGCCCCCTGCAGACAGGCTCATAAATGATGGCTGTTCTTCCCATGGGGGAACAGGGACGGTTCTGCTCTTGTGGAGTCTGGGAGAAGGGTGACAGAGCTCATTTATCTCCTCCTGCTCTCTTACTAGAGGCTCCCTTTTCCCTCTTCTTGGCCCATTTCTCCCTCTGGAGCTTACGGAAGTGAGGGATAGGGGGAGAGTAGGATGAGGCAGAGGAGACAGCCCTCCAGTCTCCTGCTTTCCACTCTTCCCCAGGCTAATATTTACTGAGCATTTCTCAGTACCGCTAGGTACAGCAGCAAAGCACAGGTCCTCCAGCCCCAGCCCCACCCTCACAGCCAGGAGCCCTGATCACAGCCCCTCCATCCCCTAGCAAGGTCAGAATGGCGGCCCCAGCACTAGTTTCTATAAGAGCAGGTGATGTTTGCCTTCCTTTAGCTTTTAGATCAGAAAGCAGTCATTTCTCAAGCCTCTCTGGCAGTCCCCAGGTTCCTGGCTCTCCTCCCCTCCCAGCACCCTCCACCCACGTACAGTGCCAGTCAAGTCTGGTTCAGCTCAGCTGGGGCTGACCCTTCTTTCTTGACTCCATCTCAGTGCTCTAACTCAACCATGTCCCCCATGTCCCCAAGGCCAGGGGAGCTATACCACTATTACAGAAAAATCTATGGGCCACCCCTAGCCCAAGCCAGGGGCTGGGCCCCTGGGCTGCGTGAATTTGCTGACTCGAGGCCCAGTCCCTAATGATGACATCAGAGGCGGCCAGAGGTCAGGAAAGTCCTGCCATCTCTGTTCTAATCATGGCTGCAGCAGGGCTCTCAGCTGGCGGGCCAGATGGGAGCCTGGCCTGGGGCTTCTTTTGTTGTCACTCTGTACTCCCCCATCCAGCTGGCACCTGTGCACAGACAGGGCCACTGAGCTTCTCTCCATCCCAGGAACAGTGATCTGTCTGCTTCTTCTCTCCCTGCAACTCTCTTCTGTACCTCTTTTTATTCTCTCCCTATTTCATCTCCTTTTCTGTCTTTCCCTTTCTTTCCTTCTCTCCCTCCCATCATTATGTCTCTTTTTCTTCACCCTCCTCTCTGTCCCCTCCCATTCTCCCCCAGACTCCCTCCCTTCCTCCCTCTACTTAGTCCCTCCCCACCCCCCAAATCCACACCACCTTCCCTCCTGCCACTATATTTAGCTCTGAGCTGGGGGTTTAGACAGGCGCCTGCCGCTGCTGGAGCTGGCGTCTAGCTTTGAAGGGTCTGAAGCATTTCTCCAAGAGGCTCTGCTGCTGAGCATGCAACCAAGCAGCTTTCTTCCCTTGCCTGCACCAGGCCTGGGCTGAGTGTCTGAAGAGAAGGGACCTCCAAGTATATTGGAGAGATCTGCCCCCAGGAATGGTCAAGGTCTTCAAGAGGAGAAAGAAACGCAGGCCAATATCCTGAGGGTGGATCTGGGGCCCAGGTAGCCAGCCATAAGTGAGGACCTTCAGGACCCTGTGGACAGAGCCCTCCTAACCAGAGATGGAGAAAGAAGGTCTCAAAATTCCTATTGGGACCTGAAGAACTTTGAAAGACCCCATTCCCCAAGTATCTCACCAGCCTACTGTAATCTCCATAATGTAATCCTCACCATTATACGTGTGTGTGCGCGCGTGTGTGCGTGTGTGTGTGTGTGCATGTGTGTGCGTGCGTGCGTGTGTGTGTGCGCGCGCGTGTGTGCGCGTGTGCGTGTGCATGTGTGCGCGCGCGCGTGTGTGTGCATGTGTGCGCGTGTGCGTGTGCATGTGTGTGTGCGCGCGTGTGTGTGCGTGTATGTGTGTGTGTGCATGTGTGTGTGCGCGCGCGCGCGTGTGTGTGTGAATGTGTGTGCGTGCGCGTGTGCGTGTGCGTGCGCGTGTGTGTGCGCGCGCGTGTGTGTGCGCGTGTGTGTGTGCATGTGTGCGCGCGTGTGTGCGCGCGCGCGTGTGTGTGTGCGCGCGTGTGTGCGTGTGTGTGCGTGTGTGCGTGGTGCTGGAGTGGAACCCAGGGCCTCACACATGTTGGGCAAATACTCTACCACTGCACTATAGCCCCAGTCCTATGGCCATTTGTTTATGTTAAATCAGCGCCTGTAGAAGACCTCTAATAAAAATCATATTCAAAGATGGGCACGGTGACACATGGCTGTAATCCCAGCACTCAGGAGGCTGAGGCAGGAGGATCGTGAATTCGAGCCAGCTTAGGCTACCTGGCAAGACCCTGTCTCAAAAACCAAAAGACAAAAAAAGCTGAGTGTGGTGGCACATGCCTATAATCACAGGAGATGGCAGGATTAAGAGTTTGAGGATAGCTTGGGTAACATAGCAAGTTCCAGGATAGCCTGAGCTTCACAGCAAGACCTCGCCTAAAAATAAAGTTTACAAAATCATATCCAACATTTGAGGGGCACTTAGAGTTTAACTAAGTGGGTGAACACACCATATTTTTTTTTCCTGACAGCATTACCCCTGGAACACATTTTTTTTTTTTTAAGACAATCTCCCTATGTAACCAGGCTGGCCTTGAACCCTCTCTCTCCTCCTGCCTCAGCCTCCCAAGTGCTGGAATTACAGGTGTGCACACCATAACCCAGCACACCATTGTTTCTGATCCTCAATTATGATGTCATGATAACACCCAGTAGTGGTAAAGTTTGAACTTGAACACAGGGCTTTCCTCTCTAACTGCTGTGCTCTCTTCACTGCAGTGAAGGAAACTACCCATCCTGGGCAGGCCACCAGCCCCAGGGAGCCTCAGCTGGAAGGTCAGGAGCACCTGCTGTAGATTAGGGACCTGGCTGGAGTCCTGATTCTGCTACTTAGTTCTGTACCATGTTGGGCAGGTGACCTCACTTCCCTGCATCCCATGGAAGATAAGAACACTGTGAGGGTTAAGTGACATAATGATTTAAATTCTCAACACAAGATGCTCAGTAAAGGGGACCTTGGGTTCACAAACAGCCCAAGTCCATAGGGGGCACGAGACATGTTTCAAGAGAGAGGGTAGCAAGGTTCTGGAGAGGTAGGGTAGGATGGGCCACAGAGCTGGCTAGCATATAGCAGGTGTGTGGAGCCATGGGAAGAGGGACTGAAGTGTCAGCTACTGTGTGGTCCCTGGTCTAGAACTTCATGGTATCTATGTGTCATTCACACCTGGCCATTGCTTTATTCCTGGGGTCTTGGTCTCCCAAAACCAAGATTCAGAAAGGGGAAGTAACCTGCCCAAGGTCATAGCCAGTTACTTCCTTCATCCATTCACTCCTTCATCAGCTATTGAGTGAGAAAATGCTCAGTGACAGGGCAAGAAGCAGAATGCCTGGCCCAGGCACCGAGCCCACAAGTTTAACATTGCAAGACCACTGTGCAGCCTTAGGGCCAAAATTACTGGTTCTACTAGTGTCGAGTAGGATTTGGACCTGGGCAGGATACAAAAATACAGTCTGGTATGGACCAAGTCTAACCCTTTGGCCTTACTCCACCCCGCCCACTAGCATGCAGTGTTTCTCTCAAAACCAGGCAATGAAGATACAGAGTAGAGACACCTTGTACAAGCACCATTCTTGGCCCCTGGGCCCTTGTATTTCACCTTTCTAAAACCCAGCCTCAGAAGCCATACCTACCAATCCATGGAAAGTGGTCATTCCCCTCCAGCAAGAGCAGTTTGAACTTCCTGGGAGCCTAGGACCCAGGGGAACCCTGAATCCGCAGCAGGATTTCAGAGGGCAGGTGGGAAGAGACCTTCTATTCCAGCCACCTTCCTCCTTGTCCTGGGACAAAGGAAGTTACTGCTAGTTTCTCTCAGTTGCTATGCTGACTTCTTCCTTCTGGGGTAGGAATGTCCTCTATAACAGGAAATAGTGCAAATGGGTTAAAGGCTGGAGGAACAAGAGAGAGTAACTCCAGGAATTGTAAATAGGTCCATGGAGAGGGAAGGGGATTGCCTGAGTTCCCTAACTTATCCCTCCATCCATCCCTCCATCTACCACCCACTCACCCATTCACCCTCTCTCCCTCTCACCCCACCCCCACTACCCTGTCTATCCATCCAGCTCCATCCAACCAATATAAAAGGTTGTTATCTCAGGTTTTTCCTCTTTCTCTTGCTCCATTTTCTTCACAAGATCCACAGGTAAGATGGGGGGATGGAGAGGGTGGTATCCTAAAAGTCGCCTCTCCTGCCCTCTGCCTCTAGGAGAAACTGTGTTAACTTTCCAAGCAGATAAACCAACTTTCCCCACACCTGGAATGAACAAGCTTGACTGCCTGAGCATTTATTATGTTTAACCTGAAGCTTTCTGCTTCTGTCTTGGCTGTTCTAGCTTTCCTTTGCTTCATTATTCTCCTACTGGAAAGAGCTGTGGATTTAGAGTCAGAAAACCTTGTTTTGAGCCAGGAACCAGTAGCTCACACCTATAATCCTAGCTACTCAGGAGGCAGAAATCAGAAGAATCACAGTTTGAAATCAGGCTGGGCAAATAGTTCAAGAACTCATATCTCAAAAAAACCCATCACAAAAAAAGAGCTGGTGGAGTGGCTGAAGGCATAGGCCCTGAGTTCAAACCCCAGTACCACAAAAAAAAAAAAAAAGAAAAGAAAAGAAAGAAAAGAAAACCTCGTTTTGAATTTGAGTTCTATTACTCACAGTTGAATAGCCTTGAATTCTTTGGGCTTCGGTTTCTTCATCTGCAGCATGAATATAATAATTTCCAGTCGCTGTGAGGATCAAATGAGATAATGGATGAGAAGCAGTTTTGCAAATTGTAAACTGCCCCACTCCTGGGAAGCTTATCATTAATTCCCCCTTGTTTCTCTAACACCAAAGGGAGAAGAGCTGGGGAAAGCAGCAGGGCTCCAGGTCAGAGTTGGGGATGAGGCATTGAACCCTAACCCTGCCCTCTGGCGCTCCAGGTGACCGTGGGAAAGAAGCCATGGAACCTCTGAGCCTTGGTTTTCTCATCGGGAAAGGAGGAGTCATTAGACTAGTTCCCTGTGCCAGCCAAGAAGAGGCGCAGCTCGTAAACAGCCATTGCTCACTGTCTATTTTGGAGACGCTTCTGGCTTACCACCATCAATTACCATTTATTGAGCACACATGATGAGGTGGCCTGGGCTGGTCAACAGACCTTCCAAAGGCCTAGGCCTGGTTCCCAGCAGGCCAGCCCTGCTCAGAAGTGGAATCCCCTGGATAACCCACCAACTTGAGTAGAAATGACAGCTGAACCCATCCCTGGTATTGCATCAGCCACTCATGCGCAGCAGGACCCTAAATGACAAAAAAGGTAAGGGTTTCCTGGTCATGTCTGGGTACACTCAGTGACGAAAGCTGCTGATTCCTGTTTCTTGGTGGTTCTTGCAACTGTCCCTCTCTTCTGCTTCTGCCACCCTTCCGGATGGCAGATCAGGCTTTGGGGATGTAGCCCCAAAGGAAAAGGGAAACCGGGCCTGGTGGTGCCCAGCTGCAAACCCAGCACTTGGGAGACTGGAGCAGGAAGACTGTAAGGCCAGCTGTCACTATGGCAGTAACCTCCTCACAGCTCCTCACAGCTTCGACCTCACGCCTCTGCCATCAACTCCACTTCCTGCTGTCAGATGAATCTTCCTACAACACTGCTTTTGCCTCTCAGGTTCACGCTGGACACTTTCAATGATTCCCTGTTGCCTAAAGGATGAAGTCCAATCAAAACAGCAACTTCAAGAGCTGGCAGAGTAGCTCAAGTGGTAGAGCACCTGACCAGCAAGCATGAAGCCCTGAGTTCAAACTCCCAGCACTGCCAAAATACATGATACAACAGCAACTTTGGAACCAAGGTCACCTGGTATAAATCCTAGCTTTGACCTTGATGGGCAGACTACTTCAACCTCTCTGAGCAATTGTTTCTCCACTGCAAAGTAAAGCCAACAAGATTGATATTATATGACTGTACCTTCCCCAGAGACGTAATCCAGTACATATCAGCTCTTCCTCTTCCCATCCCCTCTTCTCCTCAGTATTATTTCCCTCCACAATCTGTGCCCCCAGCAAGGGGCACTGAGTAAGTCTAATCGCACGTCCACCCTGAGAATTCTGGGAGACTGATGCTGGTGCCAATACATCATCACATGCACCAAGAGGGTGCTGAGAAGAAGGTAAAGGGCTTTGGGATTGAGGATTGGGCTCCTGAAGATCAGGTTTGGGGAATGTAATACCAATGGAAAAGGGAAAACCAGGTAGGGTGGTGCACACTTGTAAACCTGGCCCCTGGGGGATTGGAGCAGGAAGATCACGAGTTCCATGCCAGCCTGGGCTCAAAATTGGAAAAAAAAAATATTGGGGGGCTATAGCTCAGTGATTATCCAACATGCATGAGGCCCTGAGTTCAATTCGCACCCCCCCACACACACACACACAGGTTTTTGTGTTTTTTTTTTTTAAGATAACACTGGGCACAGCACTTAAATGGCCTTGGCTCAGCCTCTGGGGAACCCACACTCTCTCAAAGACACAAAACGACGAAGGAAGCAACACTGGCTACAAAGTCCCAGCAGTCAGGAGACTTGAGCAGCCCAAGGACACAGGGACACCGAGCGGGTGTGGTGGAGAACCAGCAGCGAGGACAACAAAAACAGGATGACTTCATTTACCGAGTTATCAAAACCCACAATGTCTGCAAACCACAGCTTCTTGCCAAGAAATAGTGAGTCACCAGGACACACAGGAAGGACGGGCCACGTGGGTGGGTGGGTGGGATGGAGTGGGCAGAGATGAGCAAAGCGAGTATTTTGACAACACCCGGGTTCAAATCCTGGTGTAGCTCTGAGGCCTTCAGTTTGCTGAATCTCAGCTTCCTATTTTTAAAAATGGGAACTAATAAGAGTGTTTATTTCAAAGGATTGCTTTTTCTTTTTCTTTTTTTTTTGAAGGAGGGTACAGGATCTTGCTATGTAACCCAAACTGGGCTGGAATTCATCATCCTCCTGCCTGGGATTATAGGTGTATACCCCCACACCTGGACAAGCCTCAGCTTACCTACCTTTGTTTCCCCAGACTTGAAAGAGAGACATGAGGTCAGTGCATTTGACTTAACTACTCCCAAACACTTAGGAAAATTGTGCGTTGAAAAAAAGAAGACTGTTTTGCCAGTAAAACCTCACCTGTCCTGGGTGTCCAAAAGAGGCAGAAACTACTGGACAATTGGACAATTGTAGTTTTTACAGTTCAGGAGAGTCTAGTTTTCATAAGTCAGGAGAGCTGATGACTTGAGATAGTTTTGGAGAAAACCAAAAGACTTTTGGAGCCCAGACAGAGGAGGTTTTGCTTCTGCTGCTACAAAAGAAAGAGAGAGAAATCTCTCTGGAGTGGAAGGAATGGGGACCCAGAACAGGAGGCTGAAAATGTGGCTGTGGAAACCAGCTTGCGCACGTGTGGGAGTCAACACCAGCCCATCGAAGGTGCCAGAGATAGCAGACCTCTCTGTCAGTGGGGCTTGAGCTCATTCACCAGACGCAGGCCCAACAAATAAACTATCTCAGGCAGTCTAAACAGAGTGAATGCTCAAGGGCAGTGGAAGCAGGGGATAGGAATGGAGGAGACTCGGAGGTCCAGGTGCCATGAGTCAGAGGAGGGCTTTAGACTAAGGAAACTAGGTTTGAAACTGAGTAGCAGTGCATAGCAGCTGAAAGATCTTGGTTGAATTACTGAGCCTGTCTGACCTTCGGTCTCGTTCCCTATAAAATGAGAATGATAGCATGGGGTTCAAACAGCATAACTGAAACCTTTAACATTGTACCTGGCCCTTTGGAAGTGTAACAGCAATGGTGAGATAGGCTCAAGACTTACTATTTCAGAGATTTTTGAGCATTTCAACATTTGTCTTAGCACAGGCAAACTCAAAACAAGTGAGGGAAAAAAGAGGCCTGTTCCTTATATGAGTCATTGGCCCTATTCTTCGCTCCTTTGCTTGGTTTTGTGGCTTCCACAGCCCTGCCCCAGACCTGGCAGAGCCAAGGTTAGCCCAAAGCAGATAAATAGAACGCTGCTGTCTCTTAAATACCTCCAGGGAACGTATTTCTTGACCTGCCTGCATTTGGAATTCTATGAGAGACGATGTGGTGTGTGTGGTGTGTGTTACTTTGCCTGGGACCAGCCTCAAACCATGACCTTCCTGTCTCTGCCTCCAGAGTAACTAGGACCACCGGCATTTACCACCACACATCCAGCTGAGGATGTTTCTTCTTGTAACTAACCTCGAACCATCCTGCACCAATAGTGACTTACATTCCTTCAATAGTTGATGCAGTCTATCTATAATAATTACAGGACACCTGTTCTGCCAGGTACCATGGCAGCCACTGAAAATACAAAACTGGTTTGCCCTCAGGAAGTCTGGAGTTGGGGGTGGGGGGAGACAACATGGGAACAGGCAGATCAATAATCACCATAGAACACAGAAGGGCCTTGGCAAAGGTTAACTCTGAGCACTCTGAAAGCCCTGAGGAGTCCATGTGGAGGGGACCGAAGAAAGGATTTTCAAGGGTTGGGAGGTGTGGCTCAAGTGGTAGAGCATCTGCCTACCAAGTTCAAGGCCCTGAGTTCAAATTCCAGAACCTCAAAAAAAAAAACCCAAAGGGCTTCTCAAAGGAGATGACACTTGAGCTGAGTCTCAAGGGACTATTGAGCAAGCAGATGGAAGCCACAGTTATTTTATGACTCCTATTCCTCAGCCTTTATTTTGCAAGAAGCTTATTGTGGAGTTATCACATAGAGATGATCTTGGGTTGGCCTCACTGGGGTTAATTACAGGCAGAAGTTACAGCCCAATGCCTGTGATTACAGCTTGGGCATTATGACCTCTTAGGGTGAATGGTGCCCTGTGGCCTGAAGCAGGTGGTTCAGGCAGGATGGACCACAGGGCTTGTTGTCACCTTCATGTTTAAGGCAAAGTGCAGGAGTAGAGGCCTGGACCTACCAGAGAGATGGGGAGTGGTGGCCTGCAGGAAAAGAACAAGTCCACATGAAGCTATTGACAGTCATCTCTCCCAGAAATCTCTCCTGATCCAGCACCAGGTACTGTTTGGGTAATAGCAAGGACACTCCTGCCTGGAATGTAGAAGGGAAGAACTGGATGACCTCTGGAGGTCACCTCTTGTCAGAGGTGCCCACAATTTCAGGGTCTGGCTCTACAGTTCTAACTTAGCCCAATGATTTTGGCTCAAGGTGCTGCCTTTGGTCTTTCCCTCCAACTAATTAGTTAGCCAGGAACCACACTACCACAGGAAGGGCAGCCTGTGGCACCCCCTCCCATGCCTCAATGCCACAGAGACCTAGAGAAATTGAACACTTTAAAAAAAGTTATTCCACAAACCCAAACCAGAACCCAACCATCATTCCTCAGATGACCCCACCCTCCACAAGACTCAAGGAGGATTAGCTTTTCCTGCTTACAAACTTTCTCCCATCTTAACCACCAAACCCAGAAGAAACCAGAAGAGCCAGGCAGGAGCATGCCATTGAGGTGATCCCCCTGTCATCTTTGGCTCTTGTAGGCACACCCCTCTTACAGCCCCCCCAAAATTCAGTTCCAAGAGTTGAAGGTGCTTCTAAGATAGAACTCTGGGCCACAAAATATCCATTTGGAGTGGGGTGCTAGAGATGACCCTCAGAAGTCTTAAAGCGCCACATATCTTAGTTATTGTCCTGTTGTTGTTTCTAGTGGATTTGTAACCAGAAGGACTGAGGGAACTGGCAGAATAGCTTAAGTGATAAAGTGCCTGCCTAGCAATGGTGAAACCCTGAGTTCAAACCCCATTACTTCCAAAAAAATCAATTAAAGTTGATTTTTGCCAGGTGCTGGTGGCTTATGTCTGTCATCCTACCTACTCAGGAGGCAGAGATCAGGAGGATCACAGTTCAAAGTCAGCCTGGGCAAATCATTTGTGAGACCCTATCTCAAAAAAATCCATCACAAAAAGGTGGGGGTGGGGGCGCTGGTGACATGGCTCAAGGTATAGGCCCTGAGTTCAAACCCCAGTACCACAAAAAAAAAAAAAAAAAAACCACTGAGGGTGGACTCTTTGAAAACTTTGCCCCTCCTTCTTATTTTTCTTTTTTTGTTTTGTTTTCTTGCAATGCTAGGGATCAAATCCAGGGTCTTGCACATATTAGGGAAGCACTCTACCACTGAGCTACACTCCCCACCCAGAATTTGCTTCTTCTGATAAATGCCCAAAGAGGCTGCTGAGCCTCCCTCTCCAA